CACCCCCCACCCCCACACACCTCTGATCTCATCCATCTCTCACCCCCGCATCCCCTACACACACCCTATTTCATTCCCATTCCCATCGCCCCGTCCCAACCCCCCATCCCCCCAACCCCCCAACCCCATCCCCACACCCCCTCCCTCCCTCCCTCCCTTCCCCTGCTCGCACCGCAAGATCCCATCTTGACTCGGCGACTCGGCGACCACACTTGGGCGAGAGGGCCAAGACCAGAGGCAGGAGGGGGAGAGGCGGGCAAGAAGGCACCTCACTCAAGAGTAGACAAGGCAAGGGGAGGAGAGCAGGTGGAAGCAGGCGATGTCGTTCGGACAGGTTGTGATTGGCCCGCCTGGGTGCGGCAAGACGACATACTGTGCAGGCGTGGAGCAGTTTCTCAACTCGTCGGGACGAGTGACCATTGTGGTCAATCTTGATCCGGCCAACTTTACCATGGCATACACACCCGCTGTGGACATTGCTGAACTTGTGCAACTTGATGTAGTTATGGAAGAAGAAGGCCTTGGTCCCAATGGTGGTCTCATCTACTGCATCGAGTACTTGGAGGCCAATCTGGATTGGTTGGAGGAGAAGCTGGCAGAGGCCATCCGATCGGCAGAGGCTGCCGCTGCTGCTGCTGCTGCAGAGGCCATGGCTGATCCTACAGCCATGCTTCAGAACATGGCTTCGGTAGAGGCGGGTACTTCGGCTGGCGCTGCTCTCAAGCCGTATGTGCTGTTTGATTGCCCGGGGCAAGTCGAGCTCTACACTCACAATCAGTCGATGCGCAACATCCTCGCCACCCTCACCCAGGGCTGGAACATGCGACTGTGCGCCGTTCACCTGGTTGATGCTGCATACTGCACCGATCCATCAAAGTACATCTCCGTCCTCCTCACCTCGCTCGCCACAATGGTCCAGCTCGAGCTCCCGCACGTCAACGTCCTCTCAAAGATGGACCTCATCGAGTCGCTCGGCAAGCTCGACTTTAACCTCGAGTTCTACCTCGACGTCCTCAATCTCGAGTACCTCGTTGATCTTATCGACGAGCGCGAAGGCCAGGCCTCAAAGTACCGCGCCCTCACCTCGGCCCTCGCCGACCTTGTCTCCGGCTTTGGCCTCGTCGCCTTTGTCCCGCTCAACATCTCCGACGCCGCCTCGGTTGGCACCGTTCTCAAGGTCGTCGACAAGGCCAACGGATATGTCTTTGGCGGCCTTGAGCGGAGCAACGATGGCATCTTTGGCGTCGCCGCCTCGCCGCTCTACCGCTCCGAGTACGAGCGCACAACACTCGAGCTGGAGAAGGCCCGCGCGACTGCGGGCGTCGTCGACGACGACGAGGCCGAAATCGCCGCTCTCCTCGCCTCCTACGCCGCCGAAAAAGGTTCACCGCCGCCGGCAAGCGAGTAAAAGCCAACAACCTCCACTCACTCCGCGTTCTCTTTTACTCATCCTCCCCGCAGCGGCCGGTTGCGTTTGGCCGGCGGTCCGGCCTCATCGCTGCGGATCGACACCATGTCGCCGTTGACCGTCACCGCTGGCACCGCCGACGGCCCGGCCTCCTCCTTCTCCAGCAGCATCGCGTCTAGCGATCGCTTGCGCGTCGCCCCGGCCTCGGAGCAGTGCAGCGATCCGAGCGAGTCCTCCAGCGTCTGCACCGGCGACGACGCCCGCAACCGACCGCCAGCCACATCCATCTCCACACCACTCTCGTCATCAGCACCGTCGCCATCACGTCCGCCGCCTCCGACCGCTCCCATACGCGGAGTGCCCGAGAGCTCCAGCTGGCCAGCTTCAGCGCTTCCCAGCTCGCTCGCCGACTCGATGGCCGCAAACGACGGTGCCGCAGATCGCATCGCCATCAGCTGGGCCACCAGCGCTGGCGTGTCGATCGAGTTGGTCTGTCCGAGATCATCAGCGAGCTGCTGCGATGTTGTTGCTGGTGCCAATGATGATGCTTGTTGTTGCTGATGATGATGATGCTGAGCGACAAAGTCAAGAACCTCGCCAACAGCGGCGAGGTATCCAGTCCGGAAAGCAGTCTCATGCTGGTTGAGCGAGCATCGGTAGAACGATGCTGTGCCCGCCAGTGCCCCCCCCCCCCCCCCCCCGGGGCCCCACGGTGGGCATCATCCCGAGCAGGTGGTTCAGGAAAAGGTCGTACAATGGCGAGATGGGCCAAGTCGCCGACAGAGGCGGTACCGGCGCAGCATACAGCCACAGGCATGACAAGGAGCGAGAAAAGTGGGCGTAGTGGTAGAACAGATCATGGTGAGTTGTGCAAGGTGTGCGGCTTGTGTGTATGGTATGTACATGGCGAGTTGGTGCCCTCGGAAGGGATAGGAGCGTGGTGTTCCATCGGCAATGATCACGCCGCCGATCGCCACCACCGGGTGATCACAGCCTCACCGCCCACCTTCCCCTCCCGCCCCCCGCCCCCCCCACACACACATGCTCATAATCACCCTCCTGCACACCCATAGAATCCATTTCTCACAACATGCAACTACATACCTAGTGCATTGGCAGACTCGGTAAACTGCGCCTGTATCTGAGCCTGAGCCCGGGCAAACGCATCCATGGTCAAGGAGTCAGATGTGACCGAGTGTGTCTTCACAAGCTGCGATGGCTGTAGCTGACTGAGTCTCGCCGGCGAGGGCAAGCACACACTCACTCTGGGCATAAGTTTAGGGCATCGAGATCGATGATGCCTGCTCAGATGGGGAGGTGAGTTCATCTCGACTGCCCAGAGAAAGGGTAGAGGCCGACGATCACGACGATGACGATGACGACGATGACAGTAGGCCAGGGGGAGGCGGAATGGCCGGCAGGGGCTTGCCCGGCTCGACGCCGGCGAGCGGGATGTACGCAGCGACCTCACCCATGATGTCGGCGAGGCGGGAGTCGCGAAGCTTGCGGCGCTTGGCGGCGCGCTGCTCGCGGCGGGCGGCAATGGCAGCCTTGACCTCGGGCGTCTGAGGGACCCGGAGGGCGAGTGCTTTTGCCTCAGCGCGGACTTGGGCGGCAACCGACGCGTGGGTCACCCGCACCGCTGCGGCAGCCGTCAGATACACGCCGTCCGACTCGTCGCAGATGTCCGAGTCTGACACGTCCGACGACGGAAGGCACCAGAGATCCCCGCCGTCAGCGGCGGTGAACCGCATAGCCATCAGCTTGTCGTACGCCTCGAGGATGTTGGCCATGTCGACCGCCGCTTCGTTGTCGCGGATCTCACGCCGGGAAATCGACGGGGCCTGGCTCGCCATGACCACCGACGCAAACCGCCGCCGCGACTCGGCCGACATCGACGAAGACGATGATGACGAGGAAGAGGAGGACGAGGACGATCCTGAGCCTGAGCCCGCTCTTGCTCCAGCTTTCGGGGATCCTGGCTTTGCTGGCGACGCCGGACTCTTCTCATCGCCCGGTGCGCCAGCGTCATCGCCCTTGCGCTTGATCCAGGCCGCAGCCGAGAACGGGAGCTGCTGCGGGCGCGAACGCTTGCGCGAGCGGCCGCTCTTGAACCTCGGCCTTGGTGTGGGAGTACCTGGCACAACACGAGCACGAGCCATGATTAGAGCCATATCTTGGGCCGATACCACGCCTTGCTGCAACGTAGCTAGATGCTTGGCCTTGTTCGAGCTCGCAGTCTTGCTCATCATCATTGACTTCTTGATCGAGTACGTAGCGCGGGCGAGCTGAGCCCAAGCAGCAACCTCATCATCCGAACTCGAGCCACCATCCCAATCCTCAGCATCAGCATGAGCCTCTATCGCCATCATCACGGTATCCATCTCTGACTCGGACGAACTACTTGCGTCTCCAGCTCCCTCCTGGCCACCACCACGGCCATTGTCACCTCCTTCTTCCACAAGGCTCACTTCAGATGGCTTGACTTTCCGCACTCGGTGTCTCTGTTGGCCCTTCTTGCCCCGTCCGCCCTTCATGTCTCCACTGCCAACCTCGGCAAGTGCACTGTGCCCTCGTCTGGTGGGATGGCTCCGGCTCATTCGACTCGCAGCCAAACGAGGCCGGGCACCTGATCGCTGCGATTCCGGGAAGGAGGGGGGGGGAGAGGCTGGAGCTGGGGACAACTTTGAGGACTATTCAATCCTCAAGATACGAGGCGTAGGGGAGGAAGGGGGTCTTCATGGTGGTACCCGCCACTGCGAGGCGGAGATCAAGGCGCGAGCAGGAGCCCGCGGAGCTGCTCCAACTCGTGCTCGCGATCGGCAGACGCATCAAAGTCATCCCAGTCACAGCCGATCCACCCTGGATGGGTCATGATCTCGATGAGCTTCTTGCCGGGTGTAGGATTGCCGCGTGCGCCCAGGCTATCAAGCTTGGCGGTGGTGAGTGCGCAGCCCATAAAGGCCATGCCCGCAAAGCCATCGGCTTGCCACAGCTCGACCTCGCGCGCTAATGGCCATATCGCAAGCGTGGCGGTAGCCAAGTGAGCCACACGGGCGCAGAACGGCGAGAGCTCGCCCGGCGCAGCCTCGGTCGGAACGCGGATCCGGATGGCCGCACCAGCCCAGAGCTCGGGCTTGGCGGCTGCGAGGCGGTCGAGCGCTGCCACAATAGCGCGGGCAACGGCAGGAATAACATGGACATGCTGATGGCCGTCAATGTGGGCCGGGATTCGCCCGGCCAGAGAGACAAAGGCCTCCAGCTGGGCCACAATCTCGTTGACAAGGGCGTCGACGTCGACGTCCTCGCCCGCCATCAGCGCTTCCCACGCCTTGGTCCTACCGACAAACCACCACTCTGCGCTCGCACCAGCCCGCTCCGCCAGCCATGGCTGTGGCGGATGAGGGCCTGCACCCACCACCGGCGCAAGCCTGGCGGCCTCGGCCCCAACCAGCGCCGGCCGGCCCTCGGTCAGGTTGAGGTGGAGGCCGAGGGCGACGTCTGTGTCGGCCACTGCGTCGACGCCTCTCGCGGCATGCGGACAAGTAACCAGCAACGATGCAGCATCAATCGCACCTGCACTTGCAAGTTCAGCAATACCAGCGTTCCGACCTCGAGAGACGCCTAGATCATCAGCCACAATCCAGAGCATGGGGAGCGAGGAGGAGACCGACATTCACCGGAGCGTCGATTCTTTGACTCAAAAATTGTATCTCTGTCTGCCAGAGTCGTTGCCAAAACGGGAACGAACGAATTGAAAATGAGCACGGAACAGAGCGGCAGACGAAAACGGCTCCAGGCAACGACAACGCGACTCGCTGCCGCAGCAAAAGAGGCCAGAGAGCGGAGAGCGGAGAAAGAGCCCAGCTGGTGTGAGAGCAGACGAGAGAGGAAGCTGTTTGTGGAGAAGAAGAAGGAGAAGGAGAAGGAGTCAAAGCGTGGTCAAGTGAAAGAAGCAGAGGAGGCAAGTATGTCCTCGTCCTCCTCGTCCTCGTCGTCCTCGTCATCCCCGGCATCTTCTGTGTCTGTCTTGTCATCTGCGGCTGGCTCAGCTGTTGCGGAGAATTCTCTGTCATCATCGTCGTCATCAGCACCATCATCGGCATCATCGAGTTCGGCTTCGAGCTCGGCCTCGGCTTCCGCTTCGCTGTCGTCGGGTGCTGCATCGGTTGCGCCGGCCTTCTACGCCCTGCCGTCTGCAGAGGTCATGGTCCATGCAGTGGCGGGAAAAAGCCAGTTTGCGGCGGTGGCAAAGGAGCTGACGAACAAGACACTCGAGACGGAGCATGAGAAGGAGGCCTATGTCTCACGAGTTGCCTTTGTTGCTGCTGTGGCTCGGCATCATGTCCCGGCGGCGTATGCTGGGTTTTGGTTTGATCTACTTGCTGATGCCAACGATCGCGTTCATCTCCGCGATGCCGCCGTCTACGCAGCCATGGTTGGCCTCAAGCCGGCCAAGGCGCTTGCGCTCATTATTCCGCTCTTTGCGCCACGTGGGGAGGACCGGCTCGATGCTGAGGACGTTGCGCGCATGCTTGTGGTCCTGGCCGAGACTCGGCTGCGGGCCCGGTTCGCGCCGCCGGGCATTGCCCCAACCTCGCTGCCAGCCGACGGCCTGCCGGGCTTCTTCCTCCGGCGTGAGGTAGTGGAGAACGAGATTGTGCCCGAGTCGGAGGCGCTGCTGAAGGCGATGGGCGTCGATCCGACCTCGAGCGTGTCGGCCAAGCGGCTTGCGCGCAAAGGCGTTGTGACACCGACGCTCGACGCATACACCCGGTTCTTCTCGGCGCTCCAGACCCAGCTGCCGAAGCGGGTCTCGCATGGCCACGGCGGCTTGCTCCGTGGGCCGGGCCTCGACTCGATGTCGGTGGTCAACGCCGATGACATGGGCAAGGCTGACTCGTACGTCGTCCGCCGGCTTGCCGACGAGGATGCGCCCGACGGAGTCAAGGGCTCGTTTGTGGCCGTCCCGCTCTCGGCCTCGAGCCGGTACAAGCAGTCGTGGGCGAGCAGCGCCAGAGGAGGCGCCGGCGCCGGCAGCAGCGCTGCTGGCCAAAGCCTCGGCTACGGCCAAGCGCCTTTGCGTCCGCCGCGCCGCAGTCATATTGAGCATGGCCGCAGTGGCGGTGGCGGCCACAGCCATCACCTTGGCAGCAGCCGTTCGGTCCGCTCCAGTGGCGGCCACTCGGTCCGCTCTAGCGGCGGCCACTCGGTCCGTTCAAGCTCCCGCTCGACCCGTTCTCACCGCTCCCACAGCTCCCACCGCTCGCATCACTCGCACCGCTCCCACCGCTCCCACCGATCGCACCGCTCCCACCGATCGCACCGCTCCCACCGCTCCAGCGGCGGCCACTCGAGCACTCGCTCGGTCCCACGCTCGACGCGCTCATCGCGGTCAGAACGAACCCACTCGTCGCACTCGTATCGCGTGCCCGGTCCAAGCCACCACGGCCGCAGCCACGGCCATAGCCACAATCACGGTCACAACCACGGTCACGGCCATAATCGGGTGCGGATCCGCGCCTCCAACTCGTCGTCCGAGTCCAGCACGTCATCTAACCCTGGCTCGGCGAGCAGCTCGCACACAGGCGATCACGCAGGCGATCACGACGTGTCCTCGCTTGTCATCGTCCTCGTGTGACCCCCTCTACCACCAATCCCTCATCCCCCGCAGAAGACAACATTAAACGGTAGCCAATCAGCCGTCTTCTGCCCATTCCTGCCCGCACGCCCGTCAGCCTCGTCCAGCCCAGCCCAGCCCAGCAAACCCAGCAAAATGCAGGGCCAGCGAAGCGCAGCGCCAGCGCAGCGCAGGGGAGCGACAACCAACCGACTGACCGGCCGACTCACCAGTCGACCAACGGCCACCACTCGACGCCCCCACGACCAACACAACACGACCACCACCACCACCACCACCACCACCACCACCACCACCATACATATACATAGGTCCGAGTATGAGCACGCAACTGCATGTGTCTGGCAATGTGGCGGACTGGCGGTTCCACAAGCTTCGTATGCTCGGCCAGCAAATCGCAGCCAAGCAAGAGAACGATGTGGTGCTGACGGTGACGAGTCTGCTCCCTGTTGATTACGCTGCGTACTTGGTCAATGTCAAGCGGGAGCTAGGTGGTGCTGCCTACGTCCATCCTCATGGTCAACCCATTGCGGTCCTCAACTCGATCAACTATCTCGGTGATCTGCCGGCTTTTGAGCTCTGGGCAAAGTCAGAGTATGCCGTCAGGGATCCGAGACCGTATGCTCTGCATGCTGCCCTTGCCAGAGCTGCCTACCGCAAGCATCTGGAAGCTTCTGGTCACTCTCATGTCTATCTCGATCTCCAGCTCGACGGCCCACCGTCAAAGGCCTGGATCGCCGCCCAAGCTGATGGCGGCCCGAGCTCGGCTACCGATGACGAGGCAGAGGACGAGGCTGAGGCCGCAAGCGGCGACGGCGAGATTGTCCGCCTTGTCTTTGAGCTGTACGACGATGTGGCGCCAAAGTCGGCTGCGAACTTTCGCTCGCTCTGCGCCTCGGACGTCGATGGCCTCTCGTACATCGGCTCGGTCATCCATCGGGTAGTGCCCGGCGGTTGGATCCAGGGCGGCGACATCTCGCCGGGCTCGCCCGGCTCGGGCGGGGCTTCGGTCTTTGGTGAGCCTTTTGAAGACGAGAACTTTGCCCTCAAGCACGACAAGGTGGGCATGCTCGGCTACGCCAACGACGGCCCGCACACCAACGCCTCGCAGTTCTACATCACCCTCCAGCCCATGCCGGCGTTTGACGAGCAGTACGTCGCTTTTGGCCGTCTCGTCGACGGCATCGAAGCCGTCGAGGCCATCGTCAACCTCGCCGCCATCAACCAGCGTCCCGTCCGCGCCGTCACCGTCGTCGCTGGCGGTGAGTTCCGTGTCGGCGCCAAGCCGAGCAAGAGCCGCAAGAAATAGCCTCCCAAGCCGATCCGAAACTAGTCCCGCTCTCAGCACCCAGCTCTCCACCACCAGCAATACACGCCTTTGTTCTCCCATCGTAGCATTTCTCCACCAAACGCAAGCGAGAAGCCGCCTGTTTACATCCCGGTTTGGGCAAAGTAACGTGGGCTTTAAATGCAAAATGAAGAGCGTCCGTAAACAACAACAAATGGCTAGGTGGTGGCAATGGCATCACGGCTCTTTCGTAAGGAGCAATTCTGAGTTCGATTCTCAGCCTGGCCTGTTAATTTTTTTGTTCGCGCTGCCACCCTCACCACACCCGTCCACTACATCTCTCGCGCCCGCTCGACTTTGACCTGTTCGCTACCTCTACACACACCACCCCTGAGGTCGCCGTCAATATGGGCCGTAGCGTTGTGAGTCTGCTACTTGTTGGTGGGCTTTCCTCTCGCTCTATGCGGTTTATGTGGAGCAAGCCTTTGCTGCTGCAGGCGACGGCAAGTACACGGCACTCTGCGACTTCTCGCCGACCATGTCGTGCTCCACCGTACGTTCTGTAGCTCTGTTGAAGGCCGACCTTTGTGATCAAGGGCCACGTCAGCGGCAAGATTGAAGGCTAGGTCGGGGCCCGAGGGCAAGCGCGAGGGCGAGATCGGTAGTAAAGACGAGATCGAAGACGAGATCGAGGGCGAGATCGAGGACACGCGCAAGCGCATGTGCCAGGCGCGGGAGCAACACTCATTCTCCTCCTGCTCGCAACACCACTACTAGGTCTTCTCATCCAACTACGGTCGCATCGTCGGCTTCACCCTCGGCTTTGATCGCAGCGAGCCGTCGCTGCTCAACTACCCAAATGCAGTGTACGGCGTCGGTTTTTACGCTGCTGCGCTGGGCATGTGGTGCATCGGTGCGTCGCGGCTGGTGCTCGCCGCCCTCATCGCCGCCGTCGCAGGCTCGACGTATCTCGCGTACATCCTCATTTTCGTCATGCACAACTTCTGCCTGGTGTGCTTTGGCATCCACGGCGTGAACGTCGCCGCGCTGTACTGCGCCGCGATGATGTGCAGCGGCTCCCGCGCTGCGGGGCGCCGGCCGCACGCCGACTGACGGCGGCGGCTATGCCCAGGCAGCCTTGCGGAAGCCGCGCCAGGCGTCGGGTGCGCGAAAGTCGTACTTTTCGATAAAGCGCATGAGGAAGCGGATGGGACCCGAGAGGGTCGACGGCGGCGCCGAGTCTGGGAGCTCCTGGCGGGCCTGCTGGAGCAGCGACCGGGCAGTCTCCCATCGCCCGCCGAGGTACTCGTCGACGGCGGCGGTAAAGACCTCGGTCCCAACATCGCGCTCTTCGGCTCGCCGCAAGCCGTAGACCTGAACCGGCTGCTTGATACCGCCAAAGAGGACACGATCAATCTTAACGCCGCGGTCGGCGAGGAGCTCCTCGGCGAGAAGCTCGGCAAAGTTGTGTGAGAAGACAATGGGTAGCTTCATCGGGCGGCCGACTGAGACCAGCGCCGATGCCAGCTCGACGTGCGGCGAGATGTACGACGCATCAACCTTGCTCCGCGAGCCGAGCGCGCCGACGATGGCCCATCCGACGTGGACGCCAAATGCAAGCTTGACCTTGTACCGCGCCACGCGCTCGAGGAGGACCCGGAGCGTCTCCGACTCGGCCACGGCGTCAAGCACAGACTCGAGTGCGGCAATGACCGAGCCGGCCACAGCCTGAAGGTCACCGAGGTAGGCTTCGGGCGTCGTCTCCTCCTCGGACGGTAGCCGCCACACGAGGCCAAACGACGAGCCCGAGTTCCGTGACGGGAAGCCGCCGTGCGCCGCTGCCGCAGAGTGAAGCATGTCGCAGATGAGATTGACAAACAGGATGGCGTCCTCCTGCAGCACCTCGGTCACGTCGCCAAACTTGGGCACTTCGCAGTGGACAAAGATGGCCTCGACCTTGCGTCCGGGAACCATCGGGTCGATCTCGCCGTTCTCCTTCAGGTTGTACGAGATGATCTTGGCGCCCGACTCGCCAAACCCGATCTGCAGCAGCGAGCCGATCTTGGAGAGCATGCCCTCCAGCAACGACGTCTCGAGTTCGTCCTTCTTCTTCACATTGAGCGTCGTCAGGGGGTTCTGCGCCAGCCGCTTGGTGATGGCCGTCATCCGCTCGATTGGCCCGATGACCAGCGATTGTGCATCCTTAGACAGCATCCAGTTGCCTACCGAGAGAACGAGGATGATGAAAAATGTCATCGACATGTTGAGCAAAGCATCGAGTTGCGAGTCGCCCTTGTCGTCAAACCACGCCAGCGAGTACCCCGAGTCCGACCGGACCTTGGTCAGCTCAAAGTTGCGCAACTCGTCGACTCGCGTCACGTAGTGTAGCACCGGCGTGCCGGCCACCTCCAGTCGCACGAGGTCGCTGTGCATCGAGACGTACAACGCCAGCACGGCCTGGTATGCCCCGCCAGACGTCGCGTTGCGCAGCGCAAGCGCTTCGAGCTGCGTCAGCGACACAATGCCCTGCAGCGTGTTGGTCGGCGAGAGATTGAGGAGCGAGAAGACCAGGAGCATGACAAGGACAAGAACAATGACCTTCTTGGTCGTCAGGTCGTTGAGCAGCTGCCCGACACGCGACGGCTCCATCAGCTCCTCCTCCACAAAGTTGACCTCGTCCGACTCTGTACTCGACTCGTCGCCACCGTCCGACCCGTCCGACCCCCGCCTGGAGCCCTCAAAGACAGAGAGCGCCTCGTCGTCGAGCTCGGCGCCCCACTCGGAGGCGCCACCAAACAGCGATGCCGTCCGCTGGATGCCCGGTGACTCGGAGCCAAACATGCCGTCTTCCAGCGAGCGCAGGCCGTCGTCGCCGCCACCATCACCATCGCCGTCGCTGCCGAGCTCGGACGAGTCGCGCGACGACGCCCGCCCGCTCCCACTCCCACTTCCGCTGCCACTCCCGCTCCCGCTTCCGGAGCCCTCGTCCGAGCTACCCGAGCCAAAGCGGCCAAGCCTGATCGACGGCCCGCCTGAGAGCCGCGACGCCGCTGCCGCCGCCACCGCCTGCCGCCGGTGCTCTTCCTCCTCGAGCTCCTTCATCAGCAGTCGGTCTTCCTCGTCCATGGCTGCGTCGAGCTTGGCCCGACGACGGCGGATGGCCTGCAGCAGCTTGACGACGCGCACAAACCGGGCGGCCCGCGCTGCCGCTCGCGCCGCACGCCCCGCTCGCGCCACCGCCAGCGATGATGCGCCTGTCTGTGACTCGGACGAGGTCAGCTCGATGCCGGCCAGCAGCAGCACGTCTGGAACCAGCGAGAGGGCGGCAAGGAGGTCGAGAAGAAAGTAGAACCAAAAGTACTCGTCAGCATGAGCAAACGAGTTGCCGACGAGCTCAAAGACAAACAAGCCAAAGACGACCGTGGTGACGATAAGAAAGGCCACATCGACAGACTTTGGCAGGAGGAGACGAGCAAAGTCGTCGGCAAAGAGGGCCCAGACGGTAGCAGCGATCATGAGGGTGGAGAAGAGCGGATGATCCAAGATAAAGATGAGCAGTTCCAAAGCCGAGTCCGAAGCCGTCGGCGGGGTGAACTGCATCGAGTCGTGCCTCATCAGCGGATACGTCTTCAGCATCAGCTCCCTCTCCTCCAGATCTTCTCCATCCCCACCACTGCCACCACCATCCGATCCATGACCTGCACCGCCACTGCCACCACTGCCAACACCATCGCCACTCCTTGACCCGTCTTCCGACCCCGACTGCGAGCCATTGCCACCACCACCACCACCTCGACCACCACCACCACCACCTCGACCACCACCACTAGCACCACCACCACCACCACCACCACCATCACCACCTGGGTTGCTTTCAGGAAAGGGCAGCTCCCCAGGACCAAGGGGGGCGGGAATGGGCTCCATGTGCACAGGGGAGTCCATGTCGGCAGGTGGAGTGGTGTGGAAGGGGGGTGAAAGGGGAGGTGGGGGGTGGGGGGGCGGTGGGGGGGGCGGTGGCGGTTGGCCACTGGCCGGTCGGCTCGTCGGCTCGTCGGCTCGTCGGCTCGTCGGCTCGTCGGCTCATCGGCTCGTCGGCTCGTCGGCTCGTCGGCTCGTCGGCTCGTCGGCTCGTCGGCTCGTCGCCACCCCAACTCGTCCTCTCATCGCCACCACAACTCGTCCTCTCATCGCCACCACAACTCGTCCTCTCATCGCCACCCCAACTCGTCCTCTCATCGCCACCCCAACTCGTCCTCTCATCGCCACCCCAACTCGTCCTCTCATCGCCACCACAACTCGTCCTCTCATCGCCACCCCAACTCGTCCTCTCATCGCCACCACAACTCGTCCTCTCATCGCCACCCCAACTCGTCCTCTTTTCGGCTCATCGGCTTACAGGCAGCTGGCGAGGCAGGCCGAGGTCGAAACGGAGGGGGGGGGGGGGGGGGGGGGGGCACCTCTTCACTTCCTCCTCATCCTCCCCTCAGACATGTCTGCCGAAGCGATCAAGACTCCCGATAGTGACATTGGTGTGGCTCTCTGGGCCGCCAATCTCGGTCGCCCGCTGTCATCGCTCGATGAATGGCTGTCGTTGGTGGGGGAGCAGGCAGCTGCGGCGGCGGCGGCCAGTGCGGCTCTCCTTGTCCTCCCCGAATACGTGTGTGAGCATTGGCTGGCGTATGCGCCTGCTCTGGCCGCGACGGAAGAGCTCGCATGGCTGGCCGAACAAGGTCGACGTGCTCTGCCGCGGCTCCGCCCATTGGCCACAAAGCATGACCTGGTCATCGTCGCCGGCTCGTGGCCCGTCGCCACTGAACACGATGGCGATGATGGCTCTTGGCGCAATCGTGCCCACATCATCCTGCCTGATGGGCGCCTCGAGACGCAGGACAAGCTCTGCCTCACCCCAAGCGAGAAGGATCCTGATGAATGGCTGCTCTGTCCTGGTCATGACCTCCGCGTCGTCGTCTGGCGCGAGCTCCGCTTTGTCGTCCTCATCTGCCTCGATGTCGAGCTGCCGGCTCTGTCTGCAAAGCTCGCCCGTGCCGACTTGGATCTCGACTTGCTCGTGGTTCCGTCGATGACCTGCAAGCGTTCTGGCCACGCTCGCGTCTTTGGCTGTGCCAAGGCCCGTGCTATCGAGCTGCAGGCCGCCGTCGCTGTTGTCGGAGCCGTCGGATCTGTCGCTCCGGACAACGCCCGTCCCAACTACTCGGGTGCAGCCGTCTATCTCCCGTGTGAGGAGCCGCTTGGCTTTACTGGCATCCTTGCCGAGACACCTGCTGCGGGCTCTGCCGATGGCGACGGCCCGCTCCTCATCGCTGCACACGTCCCTATCTCACGCATCCGCTCGCTCCGCGCTGCAGGCGCAGAAGTCTGGCCCGGCGCATGGACCGCCGACGCTGTGGCCATCACCTAAATGGTCTCTCACGCAAACAAATTCCGCCCGTCGACACCTGCAGACCGGTTGAGTCCGCTGTGGATTGGACTCACGCATCCGCGCGACCGCGACCGCGAACCCGACCGCGACCCTGATCGCGACCGCGACCGCGACAATGAGCCTGTTCTCACCGCAAGCTGTGGCGCGTTGCGTCGTCGTCCGCCGCGCCGCCGAGTCGCCTGCTTGCCGTCCTCAGTCATCGCCTCAGAGACCGATCGGCCCATGTTGCCCTGGCTGCGGGAACAGCTGCGGGAGCGGGAGCGACTCATCGCCTCGGCCTCGTCCACGCTTGTGTACTGCGATGCGCCCGAGATGCTGATCGCAAGGTGCGCCGCAGACGCGCTCCGGGCTCCGCCGCCAGCTTCGGTCGACGATGATGACGACGACTGCACCGGACTCGGCATCTCGCCCAACACTGTCATCGGCGCTACATCCTCCATCGCCACCACATGAGCCTCGCGCGCCGCCTCCGAATCGCCTTCGAGCGCTGCCACAATCCGCTCCACCTCGCGCTGTAGCCGGCCCGTCGCCTCAATGTCTTGCACTTCAGCGAGCAGGCTATCTGCCAATTGATGGCGCCGTTCCTTGGCCATCGAGTACGTGTCGGCTCGCGCCTGCACAATGAGCCACACGTCCTTCGCCACCGCCCACACAGAGACCAGGGCAAGCGCCACCACGGCAATAATCGCCATCCAGTCGCCCACTGTGTTGTCCGCAGTCGTCGCCCGCTCCGCGTACGCGCCGGTCCCCAGAATGAGAATGGCAATGAGAATCGTGTTGAGGTACACGTCCACCGTGTTATACAGCGGATGGTAGTACGGCCGCACTCTCAGCACCATCCCGGTCCATGCCAGGAAAATCGCAAGCATCAGCCCAATCTGCACCATCTGCGAGTCGGAGAAAAACGTCGCCGTTACCACAAGGCCCAGCCGCTTGCCGAGATTGCCCACCTCACCGAGGTAGAACACAGACCGGTACAGGCGGTACAGTGGGCCCAGCCGCGCCATCATTGCATCGCTTGTCGCCAGACTCGCCCGTGCTTGATACAACGAAATGGCAAAGTAGACCGGAAGCCCAAGGACAAACAACGCGCACGACGCCAGCGACACCGGGAACACGCCCCACCACGAGGCGTCAAAGCATGACACTCCCGGGTCAACGTCGAGCACAAACGCGCCGTTCGGAAGCTTGGTGCAGTCAAACAGGACAAGCGTCGCCTTGGAGAGCGGAATGTACAGCAGCGGCGTGATCGAGAACAGCGCAGACTCACACACCGTCCGCAGCGGGAGCACCACCAGCGGGGAAAACGGCCCGCGGCCCACAAGGCGACACACAAGCGCAACAATCACCCCAACCACAATGATCGCCACAGGCGCTGCCATCGACACAAGGTACTTGGTGTGAAAGCTGTCCAGCGCGCACTCGGATGCAAACAACGAGATGTCGATGTTGAACGCGGAGAACCCGCCGAGCACTTGGCTTGCTCGCGACGACCACGCAAACTTGGACCCCGCCAGAATGCCCACAACCTGGAACGCCACAAGGACCATCGACACCGTCGCCGGCGTCGAAATCCGTCGAAACTCGCGGATTCGCGTCAGCTGCGCAGCCTCTGAACTCAGGTTTGCCGCAGACGAGTTGGTCGCCGCCGCCCGCCGCGCAGACCGCGACTGCATCAGCGCCAGGCAAACGCCCACGCCCGATGACGCCACCGCAAGCCCAATCGCAAACTGCACAAACGTCGAGCTCGCCGTCGGCGGGCACGTCCGACACTCGCCGTCCGTGTCAGAGTAAAAGCCTTTGGTGCACGAGTTGCACATGTAGCCCTCGTACCCGATTGCGCACCCGCCGGCTCCGCCGGGGCACCCAGCCGTCCGCCGGCACCGCACAAACGTGAGGTTGCCTGCGTCGTAGAACCCAACCTGCGGTACAGGCTGGGCCACTCCGCCGGCGCAGCTGGCTCCCGCCCGGCACTCCTCGCACGCCACGTCTGTCAAGCCGCTTGGCGCGAAGAATCCCACCTCGCACTCGCACGCAGACGTCCCGTTGATGCTCGTCACTCGTAGCGTGTTGGCCGGGCAGCCCGCCACCGCCTCGCACGGCGCCATCGATGTCGCGCCGGCGCTTGTCCCGAGCGCGCACACAGAGCAAACAAGCACGCTCTCTCCACTGCCGTCGTTCGTCGTCGCAACTGCGCCCGAGCCTGGTCCGCACCCATCAATGCGCACGCTGCCGCTCAGCCCAGTCACACTCTCTCCTGCCGACAGGCTCCACGTCGTCGAAAGCGGGAGCGTATCCTGCCCTGCAACCCCAACCTGCAGCGTCAGCCGCGGCATCGCCGTCTTGGCCGAGCTCAAGCTCGTCGTACTCGTTCCGGCAGTGTACAGGCCGGGCACCGCCGCAAAGGATAGCACAGGCTCCACCCCCGGCTCGATCATGCTCTGACCGAGCCAGTCCTCGCCATGAAACTCAAGCTCCAGGCCTGATCCGGGCTCCACAACCTGTGTCGCTGCCGCAGCCGCCACGTCTACAGCACGGAGCGCGGTCAACGGCCCGCCCACGCTCCCACTGCTGGTTGCGGCTTCAGCTGCCGCGTCCATCCGGATCCATGGCAGCATCGATGCCGGCGTCCGGCTCACCGCCACGCTCGTGCTGCTCCAACGGCAGACAAAACCGTCTTGCCTCAGCCCGTCGCGCACGTTGCCATCCCACGTCGTCGCAGAGCCGATCACGTCCACAGCTCCACCGCATGCAAAAATTCCGCCGCCGACCCGGTCCGCCACATTGTTTCGCAGCGTCACGCCCGAGAGCGTCACCAGCGTCGTGTTGGCGCCCACTGCAGCCAGTCCATTGCCAGCAAGCGTGCTCGATACAATCGGTAAGTCCACAGACCGTGTTGAGCTCGCCACCGCGCTTGCCAGGCTGCTCTGCACAACCCCGATGCCGCCGCCAAAGCCGGCCACGTTGGACTCGAGCGTGGCGCCCACAACCTCGGCCTTGGCGTCGCCGTCGATGGCAAGCCCGCCGCCCCAGCCAGAGCCCAGCGCCGTGTTAGCCGACACGCTCGAGCTGCTCGTCACAGACACGCTCGCTGCCCGTGCCACTCGAATTCCGCCACCGAGGCCGGCAATGCACCCGGAAATCTGCCCGTTCTCAACCGTCGCGCTCGCAGACGAGGTCACAAGAATCGCCCCACCCTCGCTCGCCGAACAGCCCGAGACCACCGAGTCGCGAACGATGACCGAAGAGCCGGCGCCGGCCGCGTACAGGGCGCCGCCAGAAAATGCCGCACTGGAGCCTGAGATGGATGACCCAGCCAGAAGCTGTACGCTTCCGCCGCCTTTGGCCAGCATGGCGCCGCCAAACCCGACGTCGATGAGGTCTCCGGTCACGTCGCGCGCCTTGGACTCGCACTGCGCCATTGTCGAGCCCTCGAGTGCAATAACCGATCCGCTGCCCTCGGCTCGGAGCGTTGGTGCGCCGTACAGCGACGCGCGGCCTGTCGAGCCGCCGACCACCGCCACAGACTTGAGCACAACATTGCCGGCTCCCGGCCAGGTCCGCGACAACACGCTCGTCTCTTTCATCGCACGAAACAGCACACCGTCGCCGTTGCAGTCAAAGATCGCAGTCGGCGATGCGCCTGACGGGCCAACAATCGTCACCGCATGCTTGATTTGCCCGTGCGCGCCCACACCACAGCTGTACGTGGCCGCCGGAAGCTCAATAGTGTCACGGACGCACCGCGATGCTCCGCCCACGTTGGCCCGCACACAGGCAAACCCGTTCGCCAAGCCTTTGGTGCATCCCAGCAGCTGCTTCGAGAACGAACGTACCTTTGGCTGGTACGCAAACGCTCCAGTCCGAGTCGCTGCCAGAAGACCAACAAGATTGTTCATCGTGTCGACAACGAGCATGTCAGCGTCGCCGTCGGCGTCCCAGTCGGCCATCGCTGCCTCACTCGTCATGTGGCTGAGGTACACGTCCTGGTCACGAGCAAAGCTGCCGAGCCCTGCGTCAAAGACAAACAGCGTCGACTGAGTAGCCACGCTCGAAGCAACTACAAGATCAAGATCGCCGTCGCCGTCGACATCACCGAGCACGGGACTCGCCGCGCCTGCATAGGTATCGGATACAGTTTGTCCAACCCAAGCGCTGCCGCCGCTGGGCACATTGCGGAACCACGCAATCGAGTTCTCCAGCTTGTTGACGCCGACCACGTCGATCGTGCCGTCATTGTTGACGTCGCCGACAACCACAGACGTCACGTTGAAGGCGCCCGTCGAAACGGCCTGCGCCGTGCCAAAGCCCGCACCGGTGTTGGCGTGCCAGGCCACCGACTGCGTCGCCGCCACGCACACGACCACGTCATAATCGCCGTCGTTGTCGATGTCAGCGACCGCGCCCGTGTCGGCCTCAACTGTGGCAACAGCATTGCCGCTACTCCACATTGCGCCAGTGCCTGCCACATTGGCGGTCCACTCGACTGTGGAAAGGTAAGAGAGGACAATGTCTGCGTCGCCGTCGCCATCCATGTCAGCCACGTCCATCCAACGAACGGTGAAGCCTTCGCCGATGTTGTAGCCGCCGGCGGAACGAGAAAAGGTGCCTGCAGCATCGACATTCTCGAACCAGACCACGCTTGGGGTAGCGGCAACGACAACGTCAAGATCACCGTCGCCGTCCATGTCGGCCACAGCCACCGCGGCAGGCGACGTGACCATGCTGGGCAACTCTGAACCGGTGCCAAACATGCCGTTGGCCGTGTTGCGATAAACCATGGCCCGCGACTCTGAAGCTGAGACCACGACCGCGTCGATGAGACCGTCACCGTCAACGTCGCCAAACGCCATGTCGATCACCCCAGCACCGTCCGAGTCGCTCAATGTGATTGGATAAAAGCTCCGGAGCTTGCGTTCTCCATCGGTGCGTAGAACCAGTGTGGCAGTGGTGGCTGATACCGCGTCCGTGTTGACAGCCACTGTGTCAGTTCGTCCGTCGCCGTCGACGTCGGCAAATGCCGGCCGAGTAATGTCCAAGCCCGTGGCGAGCGGTTGCGGAATAGAAAAGCCAATACCCGACGTCGAAAGATAGCCCAGAAGTGAGACGAGACTGCCAGTCGGGCTCCCAAACGAAATTATCACGTCCGGCATTCCGTCGCCATTGACGTCGCTGAGCGAGATTGCCCGAGCGTTGCCACCCACAGTGCTCAGTTCCAACGAGGCTCTGTCAAAGGCGGTGCCGCTGGAGCCGTCAAGCGCAAGGAACCAAGTCAGGGTACCAGTGGATGGATGAACGGCAACAAGATCGATGTCGCCGTCGTTGTCCATGTCGCCAGCGTCGAGGACATGGACAAAGAACGAGCTGGCAACAACAACCATGGCGTCGGTCGACCATCCGTTGAGTGACGCAACGTAGGGGATCCATCCCAGTGATGTGTTCTGTGGCATCGGAACGACCGCGTCGAGCAAGCTGTCGCCGTTCATATCAGCCAGGATGACCTTGTCGACAAACATGCCCGGGATAGTAATGCTGGTCTCGGCAAAGACGCCACCGCCGGTGTTACGGAGCAGAGCGATAGTGTGGCTCGCCGAAATCACAACGACCAAATCGGTCAGGGAGTCATCGTCCACGTCGGCTGCGTACAGCCGCTCTGCGTTGGTGAGACCAGTTGCCAGCGCTGCACCGAGCAAGAAGGTCGGCTGCACCTCGCCCTGGTTGACGTACACCTCGACATCACCGGAAATGAGAAAGGCAACATCGAGATCGCCGCTATCGTCGACGTCAATAAGCGCTGCGTCCTTGACGCTGCCAAGCGAAGTCGAGGAGATGCCGCGACGCGACCCAAACGAGGCTTCGCCTGCCACCCCCTTGTACCAGAACAGCCCGTGCGAGTCCGGTGCGGCGTCGGCAATGACAATGTCAGCCACTCCGTCACCATCTATGTCTCCAACGAGCGGTACAAACGAGGCCCGAGACGGCGCAGCGAGGACATCAGCAACCACCCAAGACATGCCCGGGACTCTGTCAATGAGCTGCGCCGCGCCAGCGTTGCTGTCGGTGTAGGCGGCTACAACCGATGGAAGCGGACCCGCCCCAATCACGCCAACCGCCACACCCGTGATAGAAGGGGAGCCTGTGTCGAACAGCGCCGGATCCGTGTCGCCGAGAAACTGGATGGCGTCAAACCGCAAGTACTGGACAGCAGACCCGTCACCAATGACAAGGTCGATAAATCCATCGCCGTTGACGTCGTAAAGAGCCGGCCTGGCAGTAGACTTGGAGGTAAACGTTTGGCTGTCGACAAACATGCGACCGCCAGAGAACCTAGCCCACCGCAGATCGCCATTTCGTGATGTGTAGACCACACCGGTCTCACTCGGCGTCAGCTGGCCGGCCACCATGTTGCCTGCGGAAGTGATGCCGGGAGCATTTTGCGCCTCGCACGGTTCCGGAGCAAGCGCCGGCCAGCCCATAAAGTCCACAAAGACAAGGCAGTACTCCGGTACCGGCGACGGCGTTGGATCTGGCAGGTTCTTGTACACTGCCACGATATCGTCGTCACCATCTGCGTCAAAGTCAAAGGCCACAGCCAGCATCATGTACTCAATAGACGCCCCCAACGAGACGTAATTGTTGAGCGAATACGGAAAGGTATGGAGCGGGCTCTGAAAGGCCAAAAGCAGTCGGTTGTCGCCCTCTTGTGAGGCGAGCAGCAGATCTGTCCGCGAGTCACCGTTAAAATCACCAACGTCCAGTGAGACTTCGTTGAACATGACGCCTTCCCAGGCGTACAACGGGGCGGTGGCAAATACACCCTCGCCGAGATTGCGGTAGATGGAGAGCTTGTCGGCACCCATGGTGGCGAGCAGAACATCGTTGTAGCCATCATCATCAAAGTCGACCAGCTTGAAGACGGCCAAATTGCCCGAATCAAGAGTGAGGGCCACGACTGGATTTCTAAAGCCATCGAGGACAGGCGAGTAAGGCAACCAGACGATCTGAGCCTTGTGAGAACCAGGCCGGTCAGCAACCAAGACAGCATCAAGCCATCCATCACCATCCACATCCGCCAGAAGCACATCATTTGGTTTGTACGCATCAGCAATGACAGTCTGCGGAAGATCGATTTCTGCCGTACAAGCCGAGAGAGCTGGCATGTCCGCCAGAGGCCCTCCCACCACAGTGATGGCTGACACTGGCGAGTCCAGTGGCAGCAGGAGGAGGAGGAGGAGAAGGAGTGTGTGTGCCAACCAAGTCGCCGAACCAGAGGCGGCCGCCAGTGTTCGAGACTGAGGGAGGGGAGGAAGAAAGAGATGGGGTAAGTGGGTGGGTGGGTGTGCATGGAAGAGGGAGATGAGGTCTGGGGGGGGGCAGGGGGGGGGGCGTACCTTGTGCATGGGGGTAGGGGGGGTAGGAGGGAGGTGGTGAGTGGGTGGCGGGAAAGTTGGTGACGGCTAACTCTAATTCGCGAGGGGGGGGGCGGGGGATGCGGGCACGCGTGGGTACACCCGCATCAACTCTGACGGCGTGATTTGATCGCGTTGTGGCATTGGTGATGCAGGCAGGTTTCAAGTCGTTGCGTAAGGGGAGGGGGGGGGGGCTTAGGCAGCAGCATCAAAGAGCTTGCCGATGCGGGCTTGCTTAAAGTCGGCGCGCTGCTGGACGTAGCTGAGAATGGTCTTGCGGTCGAGACGGGCGAGCTCGCCTTCAGAGGCGACGCCCGGAAGGTTGTGCGGAGCAACGAGAAAGAGGTTGCCAAGCTCGCGGAGCATGACAAACTCGGCGTCGACTTCGTCAAGCTCAAAGGTGGCAAGCGCAGCCTGGTAGCCCTGCAGATCGTTGAGGAGGCGGAGGGCGCCAAACTCGGTGTACTTGAACCGCTTGATGTGGCGAAGAAGAACTTCGATGGCGCCGTTGCCGAGCTCGCGGAGCATGCGGGCGGCGTTGGCCGGGTCGAGGCGTGAGCGTAGGAGTGCTGCGGTCCGCTCCAGAAACGCTGTGCCTGCGGCGCAGGCAGCGGTCTTCTGCGCAGTGAGCATCATGGCCGAGTCGTCGTCAGACTTGGGCGCATAGTCTGCCGAGAGCTGGGCGTCCTCGAGCAGGGCCTTAAAGTGCGAGACAAGGGCGATGAGGCCGGTGGTGAGGCCGGAATTGAGGCCGGCCTCGAGGGCAGCGAGCGTTTGGTTCTTACGCTCGACGCAGATGGTGCGGACGTTGACCGCAGAGTCGATGGCCGGGAGGACAAAGGTGGCAAAGTGAGCCTGCAGCAGACGGGCAATGTGGGTGACTCGTGAGACGACGACGAGGAAGAGCTCGAGCTGCGGCTCATCGCTAGCGCTCGAACGATCCGGTAGCTCCATTTGGACAGCCTCAATCGAGCGGCGGACGTACTTGCGCCCGAGATAGAAGAGGAGCGACATGAAGAGCTGCTGGACGTTTTCGGCCTCAGTGTCAGGGAGCGAAAGGACCTGGGCTCGCTTGACGGCGTCTTCGTGGACCCGAAGCAGCGTTGAAGCGACGCGAAGCGAGACCTTGGGCGCCGGGTCGGCCGCGTCAAAGCCATCGCTGGGAACGACGACCCACGCCGCAGCCCCATTGTCGGCCTCGGCCTCGCCTCCGCTCGCCGCGCCCGAGTGGCTGCCTGGGACGTGGACCGACGACGCAATGGTGGAGAAGAACGACTTTTTGGCCTTGGGCGCGGCGTCGACGCCGACGGCCTTGTGCTCAGCGGCGACGACGGCAGCGCAGTACTCGGACAGCGCGTAGCGCTCCTTCTCCAGATACTTGGCCTGCAGCGGGAGAAAGAACTCAGTGACCGGCTCGTCCAGTGCCGCGGCCTCGTCAGCGAGGCCGGCGGCGCTGAGCTCGTCCACCAGCCGCCGCGCCGCAGCCGCGCAGGCGTGGAGCGCCACGAGGTACTTGAGAGCCGGCGTCGGTGCCACGGGCTCACTCTCGATTGTCGGCGCGTCCGGTACGTCCGGCGCCGCCGCTGCCGCTGCGTCAAGCAGAGCGCGAAAGGCCTTGAAGACAAGCTTGGAGAACAGGTACCGCAGAAGCGAAGTGAGAACGCGCGAGGCAACAGTCGGAAAGACGGCGGCAACGAGCTCGCTCTCTGCGAGCGCGATGCGGACTGCGGTCCGGTGGATAGTTGCCAGCGCCTCGGGTAGCGGAGCCGTGAGCCAGTCGAGATACGCCAGCGGAGCGATGCGCTTGACGTAGAAGCACTCTTCCAGCTCGTGCGCCATGCGGTTCGAAGAGTTAAAGTGGGAAAAGGCCTCGGCAGCGGCCCGCATCGCCGCCACCTCGCCCTCGTTGTACGCCTCGCGGAACCGCATCAGCAGCGAGTCCTGCAGCTCCATCTCGGATGCCTCAATGACGCTACGGATGGAAGCCAACTGTGGCGCGTCGACGTCGCTCACCACGCGCGACAGAATCGAGACGACCTCGGCGGCTTTGCCAGCCTCGAGGTCGGCAAGCGGATGAGCGCCGTTGCCGTCTCCGGAACCGTACTCTTCAAACGCCTGCAGCATGCCCAGCAGTTCAGTAGCCGCCAGTGCGCGCTTGCGCTGCAAGTCCAGCCGGTGCAGGTGGTTGCCAATGCGGATGGCTGAAGAGCCGACAGCGTCAATGGAGCCATCCATGGTCTCAAAGGCAGAGACGGTCAAGCCAAAGTGCGAGCGCAACCTGTCCATGGCCGCGCCAAACGAGGCACCCTGTCGCTTGACCGCTGTCTCCAGTGAAACCACTTCGGCTTCGGCCTGTGCCGTCTTGCTCTGCAGCTCGTCTAGCGCCGCGTCCACTGCAGCCAATGCATCTGTGGCCTCCTCGCCATGTCCGTCGACCACCGCCGCTACATACGCGTCGAGCGAGAAGAGCTCTGGGTCAAACTCATCGCGGCTCTCGCAGCGCGAATGGCGACGATGATGTCGCCGTCGACCGCTCCGCTGCGACTGACGGCCTCCACCAGTACCAGCACCATCATGACGACCAGAACCATGACGAGATCGATGATGATGACCAACATCACGCCGAGGACGATGATCGTCATCAACAACATTGCCATGACCATGACCAACACGGCCATCATCATCATCACCATCATTGATATTGCGGCCATCATTGACCTCACCATCCTTGTCGCTGTCGCCGTCTGTCGAGGATGCGGTAGAGGCCGACGAGTCGGCGGCGTGACGAGGGACAAGTCGCGAAGCCGGCGGAGGCGGGGTGGACGACACCGCCCTGTTCTGCCCTCCTGTGGAGGCAACAAGGCCACCAATGAACCGACGCTGTCGTCTTCTCCTTCCTGCGGAGGACATGGTTGTACAGAGGTGAGGGGGTGGGGTGTGGGGGCTGCCGAAGGGCTGGGGTTGGGACGGCGAGGGAGGACATGAACGATCGATTAATCGATGGGCGATTAATCGATGGCCTGGACGTGTGATTAATCGATGTCTTGAACGATCGATTAATCGATGGGTGATTAATCGATGGCCTGGACGTGTGATTAATCGAAGTCTGTCGTGGAGGTATGCGAGGAGTGGGGAGTGGAAATGGGAAAAGGATCACATCGTTGTACATAAACAATCACAAGCGCATAGCATGGCATGTGTGATGGGCTTTTCCTGGCTGACGGCGACGAGAGGGAGAGAGAGAACGAGATGTGTACGAGACGGGCATGGTGAGGCAAGACGATCAAAAATCCGCAGTTGCTGCTAGTCCGCTGGGAGCAAAAACGACGATCACCCTCCGTTGAACACGATCCACATTGCGCATTGCTCGCGCTCTTCCGTTGCCTCAGACAGCAGGAGATACCAAACCGTCAACTCTCTGTCCCCGATTGCCCAAGCGCCAGATGTCCCAGTACATCATGATGACACACATGCGCCTCCATCCAAGGCGCGATGATGGCACCCTTGGGGCCACACGCAGCCCGATCTTCATTCTTGCTCCAGAATGATATTCCCTGTAAAGGCAGAGTCCAATGATCCCTTCATTTCATCGGGTCGCAAGCGGGCTGGGACCGCGCAGCGAGCGGCTCGCTGAGCACGGCATGGCTCTCTGCTTGGAATCGATTTGGGGGAAGAGACGGGCGAGGACATCTCACTCACATCGAGACTTGGTGAGGGCGAGTAAGGCGAGGAAGAGGAAGCAAGCAAGCGACATGGACTCGACGGACACGGCAGGATGTACGGGAGCCAGTGCGGCGGGCGCAAAGGTGCAGTACGCGCTTGTGGGCGAGAACGAGCTGGACGCAGTGATGGCGCTGGAGGAGGTGGCGTTTCCGGCCGATGAGGCCGCGAGTCGCGATGGGATGGCCATGCGGCTGGCTCAGGCTGGCGAGTACTTTCTGGGGCTGTACGAGAGCGAGACGGATGAGTTGGTTGGATACGTGGCGGCGACACTCTCTGCTCATGATGTGCTCGATCATGAGTGCATGTCGGCCCACGTCGCCGACGGCCACACGCTGTGCATCCACTCGGTGGTGGTCGCCGATCGGCTGCGGCGGCAGGGGCTTGCCGTCGCCATGCTGAAGGAGTACGTGGCGCGGATGGCTGCAAAGGACAATGTCCGCTCGCTCCAGCTCATTGCCAAGGAGTACCTGCATGACCTGTACACAAAGGCCGGCTTTGATCGGGTTGGCAAGTCGGACGTTGTCCACGGCGCAGACCCGTGGTTCCTGTACAAGATCGATGCGTAGAGCGCAGAGCGCAATCATCAGAGTGGCGAGGTAATGCATAGACAGGTCTCGAGCGGTGGCTGTGTGTTGCAACGTGCGTGTGTGTGTGTGTGTTTGTGTGTGCGTTTTCGGGGCGATCACTGGCCGTAGCCGTTGTCGCGGAACCAGCGGAGGGTGGTGGCAAAGGCCTCGTCAAGCTTGACCTTGGGCTCGTAGCCAAGCTCTTTGCGGGCCTTGTCGACGGAGAAGTAGTGCGAGGTGGTGACGTTGGCGACGACGTAAGAGGTGAGGAGCGGCTTAAAGGCGAAGCAGGGCGAGACGATCCAGGCGATAAAGGTGAACATGAGGGCGATGAAGCGAGCGACGGCAGCCGGGATGCGGAACTTGGGGGAAGCATCGTAGCCCATCTCGTTGACAAGCCAGTATGTGGTCTCCCAGAAGTTGCGCGGCTCGTCGTTGGTAATAAAGTACGCCTGGCCACCGACGACGTTCGGTTGTTTGCCAGGCCGCGTGCGGCGAGGATGTGACCATCGACGCAGTTGTCGACGTAGGTGTAGTCGTGAAGGACGGTGCCCGAGCCAAGGATGTACTTCATCTTGCCGGAAGCGGCGTTGGCAAAGATGCGGGGAAAGACATGGACGTCGCCTGGGCCAAAGATGGTGTGCGGGCGGATGGCAGCGGTGCGGAGGCGACCAGCGGCGGCACCATCAGCAGCCAGGACGACAGCCTCTGCCTCTGCCTTTGACGCCGAATAGGCATCGAGATGGTTTGGCGGAATAGCCAGCGACTCGTCGCCCTTGTGGATGTCATGCCCGTCAAAGACGACCGAAGCCGACGAGGTGTAGACCAGAGCCTTGACCGAGTCGTTGGCCACAGCAGCGGCGACCACATTCTGTGTGCCAACCACATTGATGTCGTGGAAGAGACGAGAAGGCCCATTGGTCTCGGTCAGCGAGGCCGTGTGGTAGACAGTGGTCACGCCAGAGAGCAGCGCCTTCATGGCCTCCACGTCGCGGAGGTCAGCCACCTCGTAGCGGACTCCGGCTACCTTGTCCTTGGGCTCGCGGATGTCCATGGCCACAACGCTCCGACCCTCGGAGACAAGCGCACGCACAAGTGTCGAGCCGAGGAAGCCAGCGCCTCCGATAACAAGGTCAGTCATGGTGAGTGAGTGGAGTGTGCCGGGGGAAGGATGAGAGGGGGGGGGTGGAGGGGGGGGAGGAGGGGGAGGGGGAGGGGGGACGAGGGGGGGGGGAGGAGTCGGTTAGGGG